CATGCATGCATGCATGCATGCATGCATACATACATACATACATATATACATACATACATACACACACATACATACATTCATACATACATACATACTCACAGACTCATACATACATACACATACACACGTACATACACACAAGCACATACATACATACATACATACATACATACATACATACATACATACATACATACATACATACATACATACATACATACATACATACATACATACATACATACATACATACATAAAGACACATACATACAGACTCATAAATACAGACTCATACATACATACATACATACATACATACATACATACATACATACATACATACATACATACATACATACATACATACATACATACATACATACATACATACATACATACATACATACATACATACATACACACAAAAAAGCGGCAACAAAATAAATATGTTGTAAACTAGAACAAGTAAATGGAAATTGCAGTACATTTCAGAGACAGAAATTATTTCTTTGCTGAATAATTTTTACTCATTTATATTTCATACAAACATGTAAATTTGCTTTTCATTTAAATATGATTAAACCTATCCAGTATTTATGCAGGAAAAGAAAATATAGTGTATATATTTTGTATATTTTGATAGGTAATCTCAGCAGGTAAATTGGTTGTTGTGAAAAAGTAGACAATATACAAGCTGCTTACTGGGACGGAGAGCATACTTTTCTTGTGAGATCTTAGTTGTTATGGTTGATCATTGTGATTACCCATGTATGAACCATGATACCTTCTGAATGGATGTCTTTACTAAACAACTTCTTATGATGTATGCCAATAAAATCTTTTTGCTAAATACTTTGTGGACGTAAGCTATGTAATCAGTGACTAGATTCTGGTTATTGTATAATTTTGTTTCAATACAGTAATTACTTGGAATAAAAGTAGAATCATGGTACATTCAGCGCATTATTGTATAAAAGTAGAATCATGGTACATTCAGGGCATTATTGTACAAAAGTACAATCATGGTATATTCAGGGCATTAATGTATAAAAGTAGAAACATGGTACATACAGGGCATTATTGTACAAAAGAAGACTCATGGTACATTCAGGGCATTATTGTATAAAAGTAGACTCATGGTACATTCAGGGCATTATTGTATAAGGTAGACTCATGGTACATTCAGGGCATTATTGTATAAAAGTAGAATCATGGTACATACAATGCATTATTGTATAAATGTAGACTCATGGTACATTCAGGGCATTATTGTATAAAAGTAGACTCATGGTACATTCAGGGCATTATTGTATAAAAGTAGAATCATGGTACATTCAGGGCATTATTGTATAAAAGTAGAATCATGGTACATTCAGGGAATTAATGTATAAAAGTAGAATCATCTTATATTCAGGGCATTATTGTAAAAAAGTAGACTCATGGTACATTCAGGGCATTATTGTAAAAAAGTAGACTCATGGTACATTCAGGACATTATTGTATAAAAGTAGACTCATGGTACATTCAGGGCATTATTGTATAAAAGTAGAATCATGGTACATTCAGGACATTATTGTATAAAAGTAGACTCATGGTACATTCAGGGCATTATTGTATAAAAGTAGAGTCATGGTACATTCAGGGCATTAATGTATAAAAGTAGAATCATCTTATATTCAGGGCATTATTGTATAAAAGTAGACTCATGGTACATTCAGGGCATTATTGTATAAAAGTAGACTCATGGTACATTCAGGGCATTATTGTATAAAAGTAGTCTCATGGTACATACAGGGCATTATTACATAACATTTCCATGTTGTTATAAACATTAGGGCTAAGGGGGTGAGTGGTGTGGCTTCAGCTTCAGTGTAGGTCATACTTTTATAAAGTTTTTACTATACAAAGTCAGAGATCAACTTTCCAACAGTTTAAGGAACAAATCACCAATGGGATCATCAGACATGAAAATTGGTGATGGACAGAGGCAAATTTGTCAATGATGGAAAGAGGACAATTTGTTAGATTAACAGGTTGATTTGTCAGTGATCAACAGAGTTTGATGTGTCATTGATAGACAGAATTTGATGTGTCAGTTCTGGACAGAATTTGATGTGTCAGTGATGGACAGAGTTTGATGTGCCAATGATGGACAAAGTTTGATGTGTCAGTGATGGACAGAGATTGATTCATCAGTGGTGGACAGTGGTAGATTTGTCATTGATTAACAGAGGATGATATGTCCATGTTCAAGTACTCAAATAACAAAGAATTCAGTATGTGCAGAACTGAAATGGCTTATTGGTTAGTGTTCTGGACTCATAACCAGAACAGTTTAGGCTTGAATCCTCCTCAGTATGGGCAGAACTGCAGTGGCTTATTGGTTAGTGTTTTGGACTTGTAACCAGAACAGTATAGGCTTGAATCCTCAAACCAAGCTAGGGCAGCCAACAATTCCTTTATGTGTTGGTGTGCTCCATTAAACAATGTACATTTCAGTACCAATAATTGTTTTGAAAAAAAAAGATAAATGTTACTTAAATCAATTAAAAATTATGGAGAATTTGCACATATATTTATTAATCAAACCAGTGAGTCCATATTTAAGTCTAATTTGTGAAAGTTTAATGCAAAATCTGGATCAGCAGCAAATTTAATTTTTTATCACATGATATGCATTTCCACTTCAGAAACTGCGTTGTTTGCAGAAAGGCTTGAGTTTGATGGAGGGACGAGAAATGGATAAACAGCGATACCTGCAGGTCCTGACACTGGATTTTATTTCATCAGAGGAGAGTGAGGAGGAGGATAATGAGGATAGTACACAACAGGGTCTAAAGTACTACAAGGTGAAAAAATTGTCATGGGAGAGTGAAGCTTTACAGAAAATGAAAGATGAACTAATGGAATTGTACCATAATACACAGAGCAGCATTAACAAGGAGGCACGCATGAAAAAAATGTATCATTTATCTAGATCAGACCGACCTCGACCATTAAGGGCACCAGACTGGGCAATAAATGAGTGATTAGATATTAAAAATATCAGTTAAACATTGCAGGATCTTAAACATTGCAGGATCTTATAGTTCTTGTGTTAAAGCAATTGCATTGCAAAATGATGAAAATTATGTGCAATATTTTTTTCCATGTTTGGCTGAGAAGAACTTTACATTTTCTCAATGGATTAAATCGTTAGATTTTTGTGCTGTTGATCATCGGGTGAGATGGTTCAGATGAGGAGCACACTGCAGACTTTTTTCTTTTCTTAGTCATCATTATTTTGTTGCTTGTATTGGTCAGGCAAATACATATTTATTGTTACAGTTTGTAAATGTTTCCATACAGATTTTTTCCCTCACTCATTATCCACAATTTCATTTCACTGAATAGTTTTAAAGATAAAGGTGCAGTTGATGTCATGTAATAATCTTTTATACTGCTTTATTTCATATTCATAAAGCAGTGCATTGTTATGATACACTTGTTGGTGTCTATGATACAGTTTTCTTTTGATGTGTTTTGATGGAAAAAATGGATATATAAATAAACTAGTCAATAGTTTTGGGTACAGTCATGGTATCTTTGAATTTTCAATACAGACAGTTTTTACTGAAATTATGTATATTTAAGTTTTGTTTGCCTGCATTAGTCATTGCACCATGTATGTGTGCCTGCATTTTTCCTTACACTATGTATGTGTGCCTGCATTAGTCATTACACCATGTATGTTTGCCTGCATTAGACATAGCACCATGTATGGGTGCCTGCATTAGTCATTACACCATGTATGTGGGCCTGCATTAGTCATTACACCACATATGTGGGCCTGCATTAGTCATTATACCACGTATGTGTGCCTGCATTAGACATAGCACCATGTATGTGTGTCTGCGTTAGTCATTACACCATGTATGTGTGCCTGCATTAGTCATTACACCATGTATGTGTGCCTGCATTAGTCATTACACCTTGTATTTGTGCCTGCATTAGTCATTACACCACATATGTGGGCCTGCATTAGTCATTATACCATGTATGTGTGCCTGCATTAGTCATAGCACCATGTATATGTGCCTGCATTAGTCATTACACCATGTATGTGTGCCTGCATTAGTCATTACACCATGTATGTGTGCCTGCATTAGTCATTACACCATGTATGTGTCTATGTACTTGTCATTATGACCATGTATTTGGGCAGTTAGACTTGAAATGATTACATCAGAAACTATTCATTATAATTCAAACTGATAGGAGTCGTTACATCATTTATGTGGTCTGTTAGACTTGTAATGAATGTACAATGCATATTCTAACTGATAGCACTCGTTACACCATATATTTGGGCAGATAGACTTGAAATGAGTATATATATTGTCATTCTAACCAATAGGAATTATTACACCATATATTTGGGCAGTTAGACTTGAAATGAGCGTATATTGTAATTCTAACTGATAGGAGTTTTTACACTATGTTATGTTGGCAGTTAGACTTGAAATGAGTGTACATTGTAACCTTGATAATTTTAAATTACAGATTGGAAGCAAGTTTTTCAGTTTTTAAAACCTCACAAATAAATGATACATGGTAAAACATTAAAAAATATTTTGAAAAAAACTGCTTAAATGTACACAAGAACACATACAATGGTGTGTTCATACCACAGTGGTCATTTATATTGTGGGTAATAGACCTCAACTTTACAACTAGATTTGGGTCTTTTAGACTGTCAATTTATGGTAAAATTGTGAAAGTTATAAAAAAAATACTTTTTTGAATATTTTTACCTACTTCTGCATGTGTGTGTGTGTGTGTGTGTGTGTGTGTGTGTGTGTTTTGAATTTTTAATATAGCTTTAACAACTTTGCAGTCATATTGCTATGTCTGGGTCATCATGCCACAGCCTGACAACAAACCAACCAGTAATAACACTAACCTCTTAATGCTGGGCTTATAGCAAGGCAGCTATTAGTACCATTTTTATGTCTTTGGTGTGACTCTGCTGGGGTTCAAACCCATTACCATCTGCTTCTGAGGCAGATGCTCTATCACTAGGCAACCGGAGCAATCTTTAACTGCTGGTAATACAATAATAGAATCCAGGTACTCCAATCAATCAATTTTTGTTGCACTCATTTGAAGATTGATGGCCAAAATACATGGTGTAACTACGAAAATTGGTACATAACCCTTACTGAGCATCATTACAATAAAACATGCTGACTTTGCAGATGCCATTTCTCTGGACTTCTAAATCATATGGACCATTAGATTGATTCTATATAAAATCTTCTGGACAACCAAAGTTTTCCATTGGGTCAGCATGATGGACTTTTTACCATGCTATTATTGTGAGTGGCAAACTTTACTGATGTGAGAAAGCCATCTGGGATACCCACATGAGTTCATTATCATTATATCCATGTCATGTCTTACATTTTGAGTGTTGAAAATACCCACTTTCTGGTTTTCTTAAATAAAGAGTAATTTTTACAACAAATATTTTCTTATACTCTAATGCCATAAATCTTTCGGAAAATATTCTTTCTGTATCTTCCATTTCTTTCCACAAATCTTTTATGATCAGACAAGAGGAAAAAAAAATCATTTTATGTGTTGATGTGGGATAAGCATGCCTGCCAACCATTACACTTTTGATGTAATCATTATCCCATTTTTCACCTTATTATATCTTACACTCACCTGTATATGAAATACATCTCGTTGTATGTTAAAAATATCCAGCAATAAAGTTCTGTTTGTCAATTTTATTTTCATCTCTCTTTTATTCCATTTATCAAATAAATTTGAGAATATTCTAAAAAAGGGACTGCTGCATTAGAATAGCATAAGATTATTACCTATTTTATATTGATATTGGCTGTATATGACACATTTCCAAGAAAACATATGGGTTTCTTCAATTTGAAATTGTATCTCACAAATTCATTATAATGATTATTAGAATTGGGTAGCAGACCAGTCTGTATTTTAATCTGTATGGATGTTATATGAATGACAAATACTAGAGAGAAATCTTTTTAAACTTTGAAACATATTCGATCAGATAAATGAAAAATTAGTTAAGCTTTAAAAATATTAAAAGAGGAATGAGAGGTAATGTAGCAATCAGGTTAATTTGTCATGCTCAATTTGTGAATATATTACTGCCCTTTTGTGACAAGAACTTTAACCAGCTGCAGATACAGGCTAGTATTAACACTAATTGTACAATGATCATAAAAATGGTTGCAATTATGTAATATATAGATTATGCTTTTTAATGCTCATTTTCTTTGCCTCTTGTGTTAAACTTATACATCTCTTGGTGGTTGGCAGGTATCAATAGTTAAATGCAATCATTGAGATCAGAATATGTTGGCTGGCACTCTACAAAACACAACAAAATCTGACCCTTCTATGGAAATTCCCCTTACCACTGGCACTCTTTACAAAACCTCTCAAAATCTGACCCTTCTATGGAAATTCCCCTTACCACTGGCACTCTACAAAACCTCAAAATCTGACCATTCTATGGAAATTCCCCTTAACACTGGCACTACAAAACCTCTCAAAATCTGACCCTTCTTTGGAAATTCCCCTTACCACTGGCACTCTACAAAACCTCTCAAAATCTGACCCTTCTATGGAAATTCCCCTTACCACTGGCACTACAAAACCTCTCAAAATCTGACCATTCTATGGAAATTCCCCATACCACTGGCACTACAAAACCTCTCAAAATCTGACCATTCTATGGAAATTCCCCTTACCACTGGCACTCTATGAAACCTCTCAAAATCTGACCCTTCAATGGAAATTCTTTCTCACACCACTGCATAAAATTGATTAAATTTCTGACCCTCTGCTTGGATTGTTTTTAATATTGTTATATTTCTTCATTTGGAATCTTGAGTTGCTGGCTTAAGTTAACAAACTCCAGATTGATGTAAATTAAAATTATAAGCTTCAAGCCAGTTTAATATGAGGATGCTGGCAAAATAAGTTGGACAGCCTGACGAGATCTAAACTTCATTTCTTCATGGTCTGATTGTTATGCTGTTCCGATTTTCTGATTTCACTGAAAACAAAAATGTTAACTGCAATCCTTGACAACACTTGAGATCAGTTAATTTGAGCAGATATTTTTCCATTTTTGTTTAAATATATTCATACCATGAAATGCTAGAGGCAGAAATTACAGATTTTTGCAAGTCATTGTGGGTAAAACTGTTTAAGGGTTATACCTTTACTAGTTCACCTCCAAAAAACAATATTTAGAAAAGAGAACGTAATACCATCCATGCCCATAATAACTTGCAGAAAATTTTCCATGATGAATATTTTGTCCAGCATTGTCTGTTACAAATTATACTAGAACTGAAAGGATATCCCCGCTTAACCATGTTGAAATAAGTTTTGTATCATGTGCATCAACTGCAGTATTGGCATGAAGAAGCATTCCACTTTTCCTTGTAGTATACAGTGTTGCCATGAAAAGTAAAAGCCAATTTTTCAGTCAATACTTAATCGGTCACATTAATGTTAGGAATTTGGCTCAGATCCATTTTGAGTCTAGTCCTCCATTAAAGATGAAAATCTTCATTTCCATCCATATCATATGGCAACTTTTGCCTGTTACCTATCAATGACAGGTGTCACTGGTTTTAATGTACAGTATATGGTATGTCAGCTTGGATTCTCAAATTTATGGGTGAAGTTTGGAGGGTTATAAAGTCATTTGATCACAAAATATTCTTGAAACAAAATTTACTAAAAATTTGTTTTTCTTCAAGTGTATTCTATGATGACATTAAAAAGGCAGGAGAGGAGGTAATCAGAGGAGTGAGTGCTAAACATCTGACCTATATTCTGGGCAGTGACCTATATTCTGGGCAGAGTGACTTATATTCTGGGCAGAGTGACCTATATTCTGGGCAGAGTGACCTATATTCTGGGCAGAGTGACTTATATTCTGGGCAGAGTGACCTATATTCTGGGCAGAGTGACCTATATTCTGGGCAGTGACCTATATTTAGGGAAGACTTCAAGGAAAGAAGAGCTCGATTTTCTATGCAAAAGATGATAGACAGCTCACTTTACTTATCTTAGAGCAGTGTTTTTATGAAGAAGCTGTTGAAATGCTTCTTCCTATTAAGATTTTCTGGGCAAATCCAGCAAAAGTGGTAAAATGCTCATGCGTAGGTTGTGCTGCTGACTTTAGCTGGACCTGGTGGTCTTTTGAGCCTTAATCAGTGGATATACCCCATTAAAATTTTGCTTCTACAAAAATAAATCTTGGAGATAGAAACTTGAGACAGTTGACTGTGCATGACTGTTCTGTCTCAGATTGAAACATTATTTGAAATCAATGCTCTGATCAAATAAGCTCTGATCATCATGAGACAACTGGCCTTGTGAAACTTCACAGTACAGCAAACATATTACTTAAATGATCAACAGACTTGAGGGATTCTATTTTCTTTCCTATTCGTAATTATAACAAAAGATATTCTTGAATTACATGAATTTTCTTTGTGCACTTTAATTAATATTTCAGAGCAAGACTTGTTGGAATGTCTTTCTAAGTGCATAAAGAGCAGACATAAATATTTTCTTGATTGTCCACTAATGGTAATCTTTTCTTGGCTTCAAGGTCTGACCATGTCATTAGGCCCATAAAACCATCTGCTCTGAACTGCAGGTTATTTGGCTCCATTGAGATGGCATGGAACTTGCTCAACCTGTACGCTAAAGTTAAAGCTATCAAGAAACAATTTTGTATGAGGGTAATTTGAGTGAGATTCTGGCAAAACAATATCTGAATTGAATCATGTCAGAATCCAAGGAAGGTTCCACACTGGAAACAGGGCAAGAGATTTTTGTCTGTTAGGTCACGATTGGCCAGTAAACAGAGCAACATCCTCTCTTCCATTGTGTCTGCAGCCAGCTTTTCTCCTCAGTAGCTAGAGAAAAGAGCCAGCCAGCTGTAGGATTCAGGCTCTCAAAGGGACCATTGTTGACTTTGCACCAGCCTCTGAACATGTGCCATTGTCTTTTTAAACCTTTAAAGTGGAGGGCCTTCTTAACAGATTATCTCCATATCAAATGTTTAAATTCTCTTTGCATGGCTTTTTGACAAGAGCAAGGTGTGAAAGAGTTATTGGTCTGGACAGGGCTGGAATACCTAGGACTGGCTCTTTGAAATGATTTGAGCTGTCTGGAATTTTTCTGGGCAGATCTTTCACTAAATTGAGTAGCTTGTTGACCACGGATTTGTCTTGTCCATCTGAGAGGGGCTATTGGAAACTGATTGTAGATCTGACCCCTCCTTGGTATTAAGATTAGGGAAAGGTCCTCAACCACTCCCAAATGATCGAGAGAGCATCCATAGCCCTAACTTCTGGGTTTGAAACTGGAGCGACAAAGGTTGTCAGTTTGCTGGTCACAAATAGATTGATCTTCACACACACCCAAAAGCAGGCAAATCCAATCAGAGAACAATTGATGGATGGACCATAAGGTATGAATGATCTGACCCTTTTCTAACAAGACACTTGGCATGGACATTTAGGAGCACCAACACAGAAACTCAAATGCATAAGTCAAGTGATTTGGTTCCTTAGTTTGAGGTGGTAAGTTATCACCATCTTTTTATCTGACTACTAATCCAGATGGGTGGTCCTGCCAGAAATGAATGGCATAGAAGGTTGATGTGAAGAGGTATTTTTCAAGATTCACTTGTCAACCACATTAAAACCTGTCATCTCCCTATCAGTGTGAACCAATCTTCTTACTGTAACTTCAGGCTGGGGCTTTTACAGAGGAGTTCCTGCTATGAGTCAGCCCTTGCTGTATACTGACTTTCTTGCATATTGTAACTTCAGGCTGGGGCTTTTCCAGAGGAGTTCCTGCTATGAGTCAGCCCTTGCTGTGTACTGACTTTCTTGCATACTGTAACTTCAGGCTGGGGCTTTTCCAGAGGAGTTCCTGCTATGAGTCAGCCCTTGCTGTGTACTGACTTTCTTGCATAATGTAACTTCAGGCTGGGGCTTTTCCAG